TTTTAGTTTGTAGGGAATGGGAGCATAGTTTTCTAGGTCGGATGGGTCTAGTTAGTTACATCAAATTAAAATTTTTTTTATAGGAAAAGGGTGACAAAACACAGTCCACCTGATGGTGGCTGCGGCCCATAGACATCTACATCTAACCTCCAATAAAAATCAAAACGCAAATGCGTTGTCTACCTACTCTTAAGGACTAAGATGAAATGCCTCGTTTCCAGTAAAAAGGGTCTCCGGTTCTCTACACTCACCATACGAAACACAGCAGCATTAAGCTACTATTTTACACTGGTATTCTGTGAGAGCGTGGTGCTTCCCCGGTCGAGCCGACCCATTCGTGCTACAACTATACTACTAATATAACTGCAGCATGGCTCTACCACGTAAAATATACAATATAAACATACTAACACATTTTTAATTTCCAGAGAGTGAAATAAACAATACAAATTGTCATCGACGGCGAGCTTTAATAGTTGATTAAGAACTTTGTAAAAATAATCGGTTATCCTTTATTCCAATTTTAAATTAGATCTGTAGATTAATCCATCGTCAATGGCTTGTAGAAAACATAAATCCAGTATTATTTAAAAACTATAGCGTTATTTTGGTAAAAAAATCTCTAGTATGTTTTTGTTATTTAACTACGTGTTATCTTTACTGACCGCATATTGAAGAGAACATTTGCGCTTTGTTTAACTATCTCTTTGATTTTAAAAATTATTGTCATAAACACACTTTTATTGTACAATTTTTTTAAACAGTACGCTCAGGTTGTGGTATCTCCACAACCTGAGCGTACTGTTGCAGACAATTAGATCATTATAATTTTAAAATATATAGATATTTCCCAAACAAATGTTCAACATAGCCTAGAATAAAATTTTCTTATACATAGCTACTTCCCAAAGAGCTGTTCGTTCTGCTATATGTTAAGGTTAAAGGTTCTCAAAAATTGGATTCGATAAAAAGGAAAAGTATATTATATGTATGTAATAATATCGAAACTTAAAGGCCCGGTCTATCGATATTCGAGCCCTTCATCAAACTCGTGAAAGGGCGGACGAACATCGTCTATGTACCCACTCCAACATACAACATTTTTTTTGCTAGCATTCAGCAATTTTAATTCAAAGGCGTAGTTAGAGCAAAAGTGTGCTTTTTAATACAAATAATTTGTGTATGCCCTCAATTAACTAATTCAGGTGTGTCGCTAACATGATCCAATAAAGTGAAACACAATTTTTTAACACTTTTTAGGGTTCCGTATTTAAACAAGGAAAACTCTCATAGTCTCGCCATGTCCGTTCGCAGTTTTACACAGATACCCTAAGCGTCAAGGCTGTAATTTGACATAGTTATAGATAATAATCACGCCTTTAAAGTTGTGATATAAAATCCTGAAAAACATTTGTATTTGGAGGTACAGAATTTTTACCCATAACCATACCATCGTGGGGGGGGGGGTGTCACTGCATACGTCTTTCAAAGATATTAGGGGTATGGAACAACCTCTTTGCGATTCAGGGGTCTTTTACGAAATATTTAGCTTTTAACTGGTATTTTTTATTAGAGTAGTGTTCCCTAAAGCTCTGTTTTTGGAAATGTGAAAAGTATGTAAGGTAATAAATAGCATTTATAATGCAATTAAAAGAAAAACTATCACAATTAAGTTGGCTTAACAGGTTAAAGAGTAACAATCGACCTACTTATAAAATGTACTTGAATAGAAAAAAAATTTAAACCGCGAACTCGATATGCTTATAGTATCAAATGGACCCCTTTAAATGCACGTATTGTGACGGGCAACTACGGAACCCTACATTGTGCGTGGCCGGCACGCACTTGGCGACACGCATTCGGCCGGTTTTTTTTTATAAAATAAGAGAGCACATCAAAGCTAATGCTTCTCTTGCTTATAATAAGGTATTTGATAATTTACTACATTGTTTCGTTACAGTTTAAAGGAATTTAACACGTCTATTATTTATTACCGAACTCTTAATAGTAGCTATTATCAAATCACTATCCAATCCGAAATCGCCAATTCCATAAAATCACTAAACCTGTAGTTTTAAGCGTAGTGTTTATATTGGCTTCTGGATAACTTTAGGTTATCAGGGTTTTTTTTTAGTAACGGCATATGTTTTTTTAAATAAAAATACTAGAAATACTAAATATTTTCTTTAACCACACCTGGTAAGCTTAAAATGCTTTGTCCAGTGGTACACGAAAGTAGCCGAAGGACAGATTCGAACTCACGATATTTTGAGTACGCGGTCCGTATCAGGGTTGGCAGGCCATTATGCTTCCGTCGCCTTATAATATGTGAGAGTAATCAATATATAAATTATACAGTTTTTGTTAAATGTTTACGTTTGTATTACTATGTCCCTGTACCTGCACTAATTGTTTGTATACAAGTTGCTTGATTTGTTTTGTTTGTAATATGTTATAAATTATAATATAATTATACTTATTTCTGACTAGCTGTTTTCCGCGACTTCGCGTGAAAGTTATAGGTTTTATTTTGCGTGGAACCCCAATTTTTTTTTTAAATAAAAGTAGCCTAAGTTATTCTTATAACAAAAGCTATCAGCCAGTGAAAGTCCCGTGAAAATCGGAGACCGTTTCGGTGATTAGCCGGAACATACAGACAGACAGACAAATGTTTTAAATTTTTTTGTTATAAGTACCGTATACACTTTCAATATGCATTTAATAAAATGCTGTTATTTTGAAATTACAAACAGACATTAATTTTATTTATTTGTCTAGATTAATATTAAATACATATAACGCGCCCGGAAAATCTGATCAAGAAATGTTTCTTTCTTTCTTTCAATAACAAAAATTGCAATTTATTTAATTCATTTATTCATTACACCCCATTAAACGTCCACTGCTGAACATAGGTCTTCCCCACAGATTACCATTACCACGATTACGTCATAGGATATAGGGGGATATACGTCGTGGTTACCAGACTCGGCAGGCGGGTTCACAACCGAAGTTTTTTTCTCATTTTTAGGTTATCAGAAAGATGCTACTGCCCATCTCCTACTTCAGTTTCCCTCTGTCGCTGTTCTCCCTGACGACACCCACGGGGTGGTAATATAGGGTGGAGGATTCTCTACATGGCTGCTACACGCCGTCAATGCGCAAAATTACAATCAAAAGATGATATCTATTTGTTGAATTTTTACGAGTATTAGGGGATTTACCTTTTTTCTGTTAATGGCATGCTTTATATACTTTGAACTAAAGGTTTTTTGTCCGAGTCCTCCATGAAATGACGATGACGCCTCAATTGTGCAATAATATTAAGATATACACATTTAATATACTGACGTTTTTTTGAACATCGATTAATATTTCAGTGAAGTTTTAGGTGATTCTTTACTAGGATAATGAAGCAGGCGTATATCAAAGACGGTAATTTAGTTTTCAACGGCCTCGGCGTAAAAGCAGCAGATTTAGCAAATCCTAGTTGGAAGTCCCGGGTCGACCACTCCTGTAGGGTGTGCCGCCACCCCGCCTGTCACCCACCCCCAACTTTCACTCTCTTGTGCGTCGGGGATCTCGACCCCGACTACGGCAACAAAACCCTGTTAGTGCCATGACGCTTTCGAATAGATTTAGGTCTACCACGAAAGAAAATAAGTACGAGAATCGCGTAAAATTCATTTTGCGACGTAAAGAGCTCTTTCAATGATGTGTCTAAGTGCAAAATTGAAGATGCGCGGTTTTAACGCATGATACGTTAGGAATAAAGACGAGAATCGCATAAATATCCTTAACACGCACCGAAACGTGCTGGTGAAGACGACTCCGGACGACGAACACCGGATCCCTCGTCACCGGCCAAGCCGTACACATGCCACATAATATTTAGAGGTAGCTACATCTTAAATCATTACTATCGAATGAGAAAAATGTACACTATTTTTGAATTTGAGAATGAATGTATTTATTTATTTCCAGAGTCGAACTTCAAAAAATAATACAAACGCAACAAGCAGTGGTTTTAGTTTCTATTCTAGAGTTTAGAGGCAGTATTTAGAGGTCGTATCGTATCTAGCTTACAACTTTATATGAGTTGGTAAGTCACGCTTTTACTTACTAGGTACCTGCACCAGTACAACTGTAGAGAAAAACAACGGTTCAAATGTAGTTGTTATTCTCACGGTTAGTGATATAAAGTTATTCTGTTAATATTTTGATCGAATAACATGATGTTAATTTTATAATTTTAATTTGACTGCGTAAGCGACAAAGTGGTTTACGGAAATCACGACTGTGATTGAAAGGCAGGTAGATAAATGTTATCGATAGGAAGAGATTAACATCGAAGATTTTATTAAAACGAGCGCTAATGTAAACTAGTTCGGCTGCTTCTGTCAACAGAAAAGAATGTTGGCAACTCGTGAGCACGGTCGTGATTGATGAAATCATAATGGAGCAAGAATGGGCTGTTTGGTACCGATTTAATTTGTCAGGCGTAAGAGACGGAACGTAGGTGTAGGTATGTGTGTTATTGGTACTTGTAGTAAATAGCAAGCGCAAGAGCAGACCAAAGACAGAGCAGAACCCCCGAGGTCGGGCGCGCTTGCGTCGTTGCCGCCGAGGCGCTCCCGCTGCGACCCTATGCCGCACGAGATAAGACACACATCGCCGCGCGCGCTCGCTGACCTCACCGCACCGCCGACAAATAATAAATATGTAACACTGATAAAACCACTGATTCGTTGACCGGAAAGTATTTAGGGATTCTCTTTTGGCAATCTTACGACTGGTCAGTGCGCCCGCAACGTTGGTAAGAGGTTGTCTACGGAAGTGCCGAAGACGACAACGGCGCGGCGGTAGCCGTCGGCTATTTACGTTGAGGAGTGTCAGGATCAGGTCGAAATAGCCTGTCGGCGTTAGGCCGTGTTGCGACCCCCGCCGGCGCGGTCCCCGAGGAGAGCGAAAGAAATACGAAGGTCGTTTATGATACATACCTGTTAGCGGGCAGAGTTGGTGTCGCGCAGCTCGAACAACACTCGTATCGGTGGCGCGCGGCTAACTGAGGACTGAGGCGGGCAGCAGCGAGCGTCGCCGCGGCAGCAGCGGCCCCCGCCCGCACCCCGCGCCGCGCCCGCTGCATTCCGTGCGTGCGCCCGCCGCCGTCGGGAGAGCCGCCGAGTCGCTTCCACTGACATCAGCACATCAACGACGCCTGACGCCTACCCATATCTCGCACGCACTCGGTCGCCGTTACCCTTGCGTGACCCTTGCGACCCGAGCAACACTTGCGACGACGACAGGCAATGCCATAACAGTCATGCCGTAAAATTCATAATCATGAATCGCGTTGTGACGGAATTAAGCCGATTCTTTCGCTTACAACGACACCCTAAATACATATTTTGTTGGACTTGGAAGTCATACAAATGGCTATAACAAATGATTGTCAATCAACACCTAGGTAGGTATATGATATTGCAAAACTGTTAAAATACTTTGTTTTGTGAAGTCATGTTTGATAACGCTTAAGTAATTAATATTCTTAAACCGATGTTTTACATCGAAATTAGAAAAAGTGAAAATTTTGTAAAAAAAAAAGGTACATATTGGATAAACATTTATAACATACCAATTAGGCACCAAGTCTTCCTCAATATATATATAATTACGCTTTCTTGTAGTCACAGACAAGAAATTCATGACATGACTGTAATAGCTATTAGTTGTCAATTCCAAAATATAATCATTTGCCTGCTTGTCAGGTTAAGATAAGATCCTAGTACAAAATACCGTAAAGCTTTAACTTTTTCAGACGCCATACTACGCTCAGCCTTTGTGGATGTCCCTCTTCGAAGATCAATATCGCGGTGTTCCCGTAACGGATAAAATGGACCCGGGTTTTACCTTATGCGAGGAAACGTCCGCAATTTATACATCATGTATATTAACGTATGCAGTATCATGGATGATAATGTAATATAAGAAATATAGCTTTTAGAGGTTTAATGTTAACAGTACATAGAATACAAAGAAAGAGATGTTATAGAATCATCCACTGGCTCAATAGTTGTCGTATACTACTTACTCTAATAATTACGTGGTATTATCCTCGTGGTATTATTCTCTGATCAGTTACTAGTGACGATCAGCTCTAACAGCTAAGTATACAAGGTTACATCATATTTCATATGTATAGTATATATATTTATATATATATATATATATATATATACCTATATATATATATATATATATATATAGGTATCTACTAGTAGAACCAGAGTGACCGACATAGCCCAACGGATTGGTAAGCTGAAGTGGCAATGGGCCGGCCATATAGTTTGAAGAACCGATAACCGATGGGGAAGAAAGGTTCTCGAGTGGCAGCCTCGTACCGGTAGGCGTAGTGTAGGGCGACCCTCCACTAGATGGAGTGACGACCTGGTAAGACATGCAGGAAGTCGATGGACGCAGGTGGCTCAGGACCATGCTTTGTGGCATTACTTAGGGGAGGCCTATGTTCAGCAGTAGACTTGTGAATAGCTGTAATGATGATGAATATATATATATATATATATATATATATATATATATATATATATATATATATATATTATATTGCTGTACTTTGTCTGATATCCGGCACATAATCAAGCAGTTTATATATATATAAATATATATATATATATATATATATATATATATATATATATATATATATATATATATATATATATATATATAAACTGCTTGACTATGTGCCGATTTTTTAATTATTACATAAAAGTTATTCATCAGACAAAGTACAGCAAATAAATTACTATATTGTATAAAAATAGTTCAATTGTTTTATTTTTCTAATTAGTCAGGTTATAATTATTTAATGGATTACTTTTAAAAGACAACTAGCAACACCACGACCTCTCACGAGTGATTTCTAGATCTCGACGACAGCGCCAACTGTTGGTCCTATTGGGAATCTAAACAGTCCAGGGACAATCTACACAAAAAATTTCGTAAAAATTGGTCCAGCCGTATAGGAAGAGTTCAGTGACATACGTACAAAATAGTTATAATAAAGATTAAATAATCAGCTCTAAAATGAATAAATCAATGTTTAACACATTTTATAAAGTGTAAACCTTGCCTATTATCCAAAACAGCTATGAATTTAAGTATGTAAAATGTTAAAAACACTAATGTCGTAAAGTACCTATACAAGCTAACTAAAACAAGAAACTATAAACTATATATAAATAAATATAGATAAAATAACTATTATAAATTGTTTCCACACTCCAGATTAAATCAAGGTGACATCATCTTCCAAAACAGACATCACGAAAAAACTTCTGAAACTAGATTTTCAGCCGTTTAGTTAAACCGGATTTCGGCTTCCGTTTTGGTATCAAAGAAACCGAATGTGATTAAAATAAGTCAGTTTGTAATTGATTTATTCTGTTATATATTTTTATTATCAACTAGTTTAAGAGAATTAATAAATCATAAAAGTTTTTTTTATTACCAATTACGTTGCACCTCATGGGACTTAAATTATTAATCATACCAACACTAACGAGGTTGTAGCACGAATGGGTCGGCTCGACCGGGGAGGACCACGCTCTCACAGAATACCAGCGTAAAAATAGCAGCTTAATTAATGTTCCTGTGTTTCGTATGGAGAATGTAGAGATCCGGAGACCTTTTTTTACTGGAAATGTGGCATTCCAGCTCAGGTGTCAGCTTCAGGTGTGACAATACATCTGCATTTTGATTCTTAATCGAGATTAAATGAAGATATTCAGGGCCACAGCATCCACTTACCACCAGGTGGACAAAAAAAGCCGACGGCAGCACTCTATTCCTTACTCATTTTAGAATCTGTATAAATATCTGGTCTTATCTAAGAATATTATGTTCTATCTATCTATCTCTTGTTTTCTTTTTGGGTTGATCGGGACACAAATATATTTATGAAAAACTGACTAAAGGTAACTATGACACCAATGTCGAAATACTCAAACACTGCTTAGTTTTAATATGTCATTAAGTCTCGTCCTATCTCTATCACTATAAGTCAAAGTGACTGTGACACCACGAGACTTAAGGCGACACCGTGAAAAAATGCACCTCCTTTCATCGAATAGTATAGGACTATGACACCACTAACGAAAGTGGGATTTTGATATAGGTAAATTCATGTCTTTATCTTGAATTTGATTGCTCAAAAACACGATTGTATAGTTTTGACTCGATCATAATTATTTGCGAAAACACCTCTAAAAAATCACTATAGTTGAATTTACAACGAAATCATTTGATCTATATGCTTGGGAATCACTCAAATATATTCATAACATCAATATTCATAATTTACTTGCTCATTATTTTGATAACTTAAATCAATAATTTTTTAAAAAATATTTTAAGATTCTGACAATTTCTAAGCGCTTTTAATCATCGTGGCCGCTACGCTATTTTAGACCTTATGACGGCGTTTCTTCAAGTCTTTATAGATATTATGTATTCACTCGGATCAGTACCTCGATAGCGTTTTCGATGTGTCGTCTTAACGACATCTCAATCTTGAGTAGCGTTTGAGGCCATAAGACATCCAACATCTGTCCCTCTGCAAAGCACTCAAAACGACAGGAATTTTAAATAACATAACATATAACACATAAACACTCACGCCTGTCACCCAGAGGGGTAGGCAGAGACTACAGATTTCCATTTGGCACGATTCTGACATACCTCTCTCGCCTCCTTCACATCCATACACCTACGCATACATGCTCGTCGGTTAAGGGTACTCCTAATTTGGCCCGTTTCCAATAAATCGCCAATTTGGTCGATAAATTTTCGCCTAGGACGTCCCTTTCCGACTCTGCCATTCACTTCTGCAACATAAATTGTCACTCTTTCCTCATTCATTCTTTCCACATGACCAAACCACCGAAGCATTCCTTTCTTAATCCTGGTCACAACATCATCTTTCAAACCACACTCTTCTCTTATTACACAATTTCTTACCCTGTCATTCAGATTCAGCCCTAACATACTCCTTGACGACCGCATTTCTACTGCGTTTATTCTACTCTCGTGCTTTTTCTGCCACACCCAACTTTCACTACCATACGTTAAAGTAGGAACCAACACAGCATTGTGAATTGCCATACGTGCCTTTTTCGACACATTTTGACTCTTCACAATGGAGTGCAAGGCTCCATTTACTCTATTTCCCGCATTCACTCGTCGTTCTATATCCTTATTATATCTCCCATCCCTGCTAAATACGCAGCCCAAATATACAAACTCATCTACTTGCTCGATCAACTCCCCTTCTACTCTTATTTCACAAATCGTTTTACTTTCTTCTCTTTCAAAAACCATAACCTTCGTCTTACTTGCGTTCACTTTCATACCCCTTTCTTTTAATGATCCGTTCATTAATGTAACCATCTTTTGCAACTCGGCCGCCGACAGCGCAAGAATGACTTGATCATCGGCGTACAAAAGGCATTTGACAGTTAACTCACCCATTCTTAATCCGTATTCTTCAACTTTCAAATTTTGCAAACAACTGTCCATAAATAGGTTGAACAGCCACGGGGAAGCCACACAGCCCTGTCTGACACCTTTATGGATGTCAAACCAGTCCGAGTAGACCCCGTTGATCCTAACACAAGCACTAGAGTCCCTATAAAGAGACTCCAATGCCTGTATCAAGCCAGCGCTCAAACCAAATGAGTTCAGTGTTTGCCATAGCACATCCCTATCCACTCTGTCATAGGCCTTTTCCAAGTCCATGAACGCACAAAATACCTTTTGGGTTTTTGGCCAGAAACTTCTCCGCGATCATGCGCATGGAAAAGACTTGATCTGTACATCCCATTCCCTTTCTAAATCCCGCTTGCACATCCCAAATTTTTCCATCAGTTTCTTTCATGACCCTTTCAATCAGTACCTTAGCGTACAGTTTTCCCACAATGCTAAGAAGGCTGATGCCACGGTAGTTTTTACAGTCCTGCTGCGACCCTTTTCCTTTATATACTGGGACTATCACGGCTTTGCACCAGTCTACCGGTACCCGCTTCAGTTCCCAGCATAAATTAAACAAGGTGTGCAGCAGGCCTGCCA